TGTTAACATCTTTGTCTTCTATTAATCTTGAAACCTGCTAATGCACCAAATTCTTTTCATTTCCCAAATAATATTTTAATTCCCTTTAAAGGATGTTCCAGAACCAACACCAAGTCATCTGCAAAAGCCCTTAACTTATAAGTTTCCTTTTAATCTTTGCTCCCACAATGAGTATGATAGGTTCTATACAGAGGATCTGGAACCTCTAGCCATTCTCTCTTTCTCATGTGACATAAATTCCACTTAGAGCAATGTAGTGTCATAGACCTTTGTGCCTGGACCCAAGATTTGATAGATATGAGCTGGAAAGATTCCAAAGTTACTTTTTTATTCTTTGAACATTCTAGAGCAGTGGTTCCCAACCTTTTTCTTTATATGTACCACTACACTCTCTGAAAACGTTTGAGGACCAGATATAGTTCAAGTCTTCATGCCACACATAGTTTCACAGGTGGTGTCAAGAAGACCCCAAGTTAAATATTTTTTAAATTTTCAGATTACCAAAAAAATTCAGATTACCAAATTTCACATGCTTTTTAATGTTCCTGAGATTTTGAAAAAGAATGCTGAATCTCAAAATCTAGCAAGATTTCAAGTAAGAAAATTGGAATTTTGGCTGCTTAAAAGAATGGGGTGTGGGAGGATTTGGTACCTACAGCAAGGGTTAGGGTTCAGCATTTTTGCAGACCAGTATACCCAGACTACAAGTTTGAAACCATTGCATTTGTTTTCACAAGACAAGATCAACAAAGAATCAACAAAGATTCAAAAGCTGTAAACAGGACAAAGCTTTCAATAATACTTTTATCACAATCCCCACTCTGGTGATCTTTGAGAAAATACTTTGTCTCTAGGAGGACCAAAACATAAAAACCCTTTTTGATCCATGGGAAAAAAATTACAGTTAGCTAAAACTTTTATTGGGAGAAACCACAATTACTATAAAAGTATACACACTTTTGAGTTTAAAGAACTGTTAAACACACAACTGGGTAAGGAGTGACAAATAGGCTGATTTTATAGCAATATCTCAGAAAGTAGTGGTATCTGGCCAATTTTGCCTCAGCTTTGAAGGTAAACAGGGTCAGATTAGCTAGTTTTTAAATGGGGGACTCCAGGGATACCAGCTAGAAGAGAAAGTTAGAAACACCTAGAAGGCAAATCATTTCCATACAGTTGCCAAGAAAACTATATGGGTGTGCCATGTAGTAACCAGGAATTGAGCATGAGTCAAGTATGTCACCACCCTTTTTTTTTTTTTTACCTGTACCAGGCCATATTGTTCAATGAAGTGATGAGATCCCTTCAGCCATGCAAATTGGTTCTTCAGGTACAGAGTGTTACTCGATTGGATAAAGATTCCTCCAAAGTTGAGAACTAGTAACAAGCAAGTGAGAGAAAAATAATGATTCCTTCCAGGTCAGAGCAGAAAGAGCCATTCTGTTTCTAGCCATAGGTGAAGCGTGGCAGATAATAGAAACAAAGGAACAACTTTAAAATCAAGGTGCACATTTTATGGCCAGAGCTTTATTAACTCTCCAAATACTTTTTGAACATCCAAGGTTCTCACAACACAAATGCCAGAAACCAAAGGCATCAAAATTATACATCTCTTGAAAATTTAGGATCACCAGTAAGCACTTTAAATACTTAGAAAACTACAATTTATAAACTATATTGGAAAACCAGAAGAATGTTTAGCTGTATGCTTTAGGAATACATGAAAAGTTCATCAGATGTATACAGTACACTTATATAATGAATATTTTAAATTAGTAAAAGGAGTACTTTCTGAAATAAGTCAGACAAAGATTAAACAATTACCAGAGCAGCTCTTTTTGTTTTTAGCTATTATGATTACTTTCTTCTGACTGGGACCTGCTGAAGCAAGAGACAGAATAATTCAAAACATTTTGAATGGCTGTTCGTCCATAAATACCTAGGCTTTCCAGAAACCACAGTTCCAGTATTAGCAGTAGACAGGCTTACTGTCCCTCTGAAGAAGCAGCTGTGTGACCTGAGGATTCTCCTGGACTCACAACTTGCTTAAATAACAGGTGGAAGTGGAATTACTTGGACTGGGAAGCTATAGGAAGAGTTACTCGTACCCTTAGCACCACATCTCTTAACTGCTGCGAGACATTCTGTGTGGATCTGCCTTTGAAAACAACTTGGAAGCTGCAATTGGTACAGAATGCTGTGGCCCGATTGCTAGCACATGAATCCAGCTATTGCAGTGCATCACCAATTTTTGCAATGCCCTTACTGGTGGCCAATAGGCTTCTAGGCCCAATTGAAAATACTGGTCATTTATAAAGCCTATATGATGCAGGATCACATAGGCTTTATATGATCCTTTAACTCCCTGTTAAATTAGGGAGTTCAGAATTATTCTACTTGTCTTGTGAGATAAACTGTGAGTGGGGCATGGACTGGGAGGCAGTCTTTCTTAGGGGGCCTCAAATCTGTGGAAGATGTTGACCCAGAAATGTGCCTAATTCCTTTGCTGCTGGAGTTCCAGAAAGCAGCAGAGAGACTTCTTTTTCATTGGCATTTGATAATAATCCAGTAGTGATGGGGGAGTTGCTATGGGATATGCTTTGCTTGTTTATATACTGGATTGTTTGGGTTGAATTTGTGGGATGTTGAAGAGTATTATTTAGAGCTAATGTTTTACACTGATATTTTAGATTGTATGCTATCCAGAACTGTTCATGTGAGTGATACAGAAATTTGTAAAATAAAATAAAAAATTATTTTGCAGTCGATTGGACTTTGGAACAACATATTGAGAAATCTGAACGTACATACCGTGGTAGAGAACTTCCAGGGTTTGTCAATTACAAAACCTTTGAAAACATTGTAAGACAGCAAATTAAGCAACTAGAATCCCCAGCAATTAAAACGTTGAAAGAAGTTTCAAGTAAGTTCTAATTTTTATGCTCTCATTTACATAAAGTACTTCCATGAATGACTCCTAAGAATATTTTGCCCAGTATGCAGTTTTTGAAGTGCATTGCTTAATACATAAATACAGTGTAAATAAACCCTACTGAATATGGTGATGCTTAGTCTAGGAGAGTGTATATAGGGGTGTAATTTTATGAAGGGCTTTTGTGCTTCTTGGGTTGGCCATTGTATGGAATATGTCTGCTATGAAAGGTCTCCCTGCTGTACTGATGGAAAGGCTGTTCCCATAGTGCTAAAAATGTTGCACTGAAAGGTGGTATATTTGGAGAGGAGATCCATAGGATCTATGCCCCACAAATTCCCCCAGTCATATACGTATATGTTCTAATTGAGCAACGGGTTGTCTCAAGCTTTCAGTAAAAGCAGCACTGGGGTGTTTAGAAAATGAACACTGATCATGTCTGAAGCCTCTGCTTAAAAGCAGACATCTTAAGTGAACAGGTGGTTCCACAAAGATGCACCCCTTCCCATAACTGCCTCAGTCAGGCAGAAAGTTCACAGCCCTTAGGATAATCTAATTAATAATTGCACCTGAAAGGGAAAGGAAAAACAGATTAACATTCTCTAAGTGCTGTGGGCTATTGACTCTCTCTAATTAGTGAGTAGTGTTAAATTGGACTACAGTGTATATTTTAAAACATTTTTGGATGTTGTATTTTATTATTTTGTACAAAAGCGTAAATCTTTATTCAGCACAGTTTAGAACTATATCATTTCTACAGTGGTGTGTTTAATTTGGTCCTATGCTGGCTGCTGTCCTATGGATTTAAGTTACCGAAAAGCAGATTCCAGTTGAAAGTTAGAGGGGAAGACTTCCTAACACTAAGAGCAGTTTGTTAGTGAACCAATTGCCCAGAAAGGTGATGGATATACAGTATTCAAGTGTTTAATAGACCACCACCTGTTGGGGATGCTTTAATTGGAATAACTGCACTGAGCAGAAGGTGGAGTTGATGATCTAAATGTCTCCTTCCATTTTTGTCATAAAATTGGCTGCCCATATTGTTAGTATGCATCCTACATCTGTTGAGATTCCTGTCAAATAGTAATTTGTCCATGTAAAGTCCCCCTTGGCATATCATCAGCCTATGAGAAATAGTTGGGGCATTGCCGCACAGATGAGGTGAGTCTGATATTATTCTGCAGTTCCAGGACTCTACCTTGTCTTCTGTAGGCTGGTTTGTATGCCCGCCTTCCAAATCTTTTTAGGCATCGCACAATTTCAAAATAATGTAAAAGAAAAAAGAAAAGGTGACTCCAACCATAAAAGCAGGTACAAAATAATTTAAATTACACAGTGCTAAACAAATTCTAATTTAATTCAGACATTTCATAATTAAAGACACTCAAGGGACATCAGGAATAATACATCTTGCCAAAGATAAATCCTGGAGAACTGCATAAATGAACTGACGAGGTGCTGGGCAGTCACCCCTCTTTCTTGGCACTGGGGTTGAGTTGGAGTGGTCAATAATTAAAACTGTCAGTTAAGAGGAAACTGGCAAATAATCAATAAAGCCTAGTTTATCATTATTCATTATTCTCAGCACAATACAGTGAGAAAAAGCTCATAAAACTAGAGACTGTAGTGACTTTCTTATATACTTTCCTCCTTTCAATAAAATTGTGGAGGCTGCCTCTCTTCTGTTCTCTCCTCTCCTTCCTTTCCTTTCCTTTCCTTTCCTTTCCTTTCCTTTCCTTTCCTTTCCTTTCCTTTCCTTTCCTTTCCTTTCCTTGAAGGGAAGCCTTATGAGCAGTTGATTTCAAAATCAAAGAGGAAGCAAGTGGTGATGGATAAAGGACAAAATTCAGAAACAAAGCACTAATGGAGAGGGCAAATGTTGAAGAAGAAAAAGCTGTGGTGGAAGATGGCAAGTGACCAGAGGCAAGGTTGCTGTTCTTGCACCTGCTAGCATGTCCAAACACATCTCTGATAATACAACAGGCCATATGACCTCTGCTCCAAAATAGCCAGTGGCAAAATATTAGTGATTTTGGATACCTTGAAATTAGTGGGACAATGTCATATTTTACTTTAAAAGTGTTGAAATAAGGCTTTTGAGCTCTTTTGCCTTATTTGATATGCAAGTGAATAGACGTGCAATTGCTTGAACAACTGCACTCAAAGAGTGCTCATAAATGGTCTTATGACAGCCTGGAGGGAGTCATTGAGTGAGATCTCACAAGAGCTTTGTTCTCATCCCAGAGTTATTCAGTATCTTTACAAATGAACAAGAGGATGGAATGGATACAAAGTGAATCTGCAATTATACTAAGCTAGGGGGATTAATTAGCACCATAGAAGAGAAAGTCATAGGGCAAAATCACCAGGCTCGTATATAGGGCAAACCCAATGGGAAAATGTTCAGCTACAAGATTTGAAAGATCTAGCTTGATAGCAGTACATGTGAGAAAGATTTACTGGACTAACTTGGAAATAAAGAATGCAATGAGCAAAAAAGGCCATTACAATATTAGGTGCCGTGCTTCTGTCAATGTAGTCCAATGCCATATTGCACTGCATTAACAAAAACAGCTATAACAACTGTTATATATGGGATAGAGTGAATTTGTTCTGTGTTAAAAATCAGGGAGGACAAGATTGAATTAAAAGGAGATTTATGCTAAGTAATTTAACCTGTTTTGTTTAGTTTGACAGTTTTTGCGCTGATAGATTCCTGCATTGAGAAAAAGAATCGAACTACATGACCTACAAGAACCCTTCCCATTCATACTTTTTCAGTTCTGTGAACTCCTGAGCTGGGAATTAGATTAAGCCAATGTTGTGTGATCAATCAGGAAGATTGATAAAGGCTTGTCAGGGCATTATGGTGCTACTTTTAATTATGGTTGGGCCTAGGATCAGGGAGTCACAGGTTCAAAACCTCATTCAGTGTTGAAGCATACTGGAAGACTTTGTACCAAATTTAGTCTCTCCAATACTGTAACATAGACAGTTCTTGGCTATGACATTGGGACACTGGCACATCCCTATTTTTAACTTAAAATGTAAGACGTATAGGTAATAAATCAATTTTACATAAGAACTAACTCTTATAAAATTGTTCAGATTTTTCCAAGCTCTCTCTGAAACACACATATATGCTTATACAGTATATTGTATATTGAGCCACCCAGAGTCATCCCAAGTTAGTCCAGTAAATCTTTCTCACATGTACTGAAGTTAGTCCAGTAAATCTTTCTCACATGTACTGAAGTTAGTCCAGTAAATCTTTCTCACATGTACTGAACTCTTATAAAATTGTTCAGATTTTTCCAAGCTCTCTCTGAAACACACATATATGCTTATACAGTATATTGTATATTGAGCCACCCAGAGTCATCCCTTGGGGAGAGATGGGTGGCATACAAATTTAATAATAAATAAATAAATAAATAAATAAATAAATAAAATATTGGATTTAAATAGAAGCCTGTAGACGTTCATGTGGAAGTAAACTTTGTTTCTTGCCTGATGTCACACACCTCTCCTGATTTGAACATACATATTTATATAGGTACGTAGACCAAAGGAGGTGTAAAGGCTTTAATCTCAATATCCAAGTGTTGAATGTCCAGTTGTTGTATGGTGTACAATTGGGAATTGCATCTGCAGGGTTTTTTTTAAGTTGTTCCTATCATTAAATTGCTCCCTCTTTTTTTTTTCCTAGAATTGGTGCAGAAAGCATTTATTAATCTTGCTAACCAACACTTCAAAAATTACTCTGAACTCTGCAAAGCTACTCTGGTAAAAGATGGTATTATTAGCCATACCTGTAATAAATTTCCAAAGGGGTAGCCATGTAGTTTGCAGTGAAAACAACAAAGCACTTTATGACGGACAAATTCATTATTTTGGAGGATTTCATGGATCACAGTCCACTTCAGATGTATCTGGTTTTGTGGGTGAATGTCTGACTAATGAAAATGAAACCATTTACATTGATATCTTAGCACAGCTAATTGTACTGATGACATAATGGATGGTGTGACATGTCCTAGAGATTGTAATTTGGCTCACCATCTTGAGTTATCTGCTATATTTTCTGTTTTCAGGCTAGTGTAGAACTGCAATCCTGAGAGCATTGTGATCTGTGGGGAATCCCCAGAATTGTATTTCTAGTAAATTCAAGCTGCACTCTAACTCTGTACACTTTAAATGAGCCTTCAGTGATAGGATTGAAATTCTTGTAATTCCCAAACCTTCTGAAAAGTATTGTGTTGGGGAAGTCTACCTTATCTGAATAAAAGTTGGGGGTGGAGAAATGTATATAAATTCTGGGTGGCTAACAATGATCCACAAAAGCCATATAATAAAACCTCTGTAAATCAAGCAAAAAATAGAAGAACCATAATACAATAGACAAGGCACCATATAATTGTCTCAGTCACACAAATGAGGCAAAAATGTTCTTTGTTATGCAGAGCAATATTGAAGAAATAAAGCTTACACAAGTGAAAGCAGAAGATATGATACTCACTCAGTTTAAACTGGAAGAAGTGGTATACTGCCAGGACAATATTTATAGTGAAGATTTAAAAAATGCAAGAGGGGAAACAATTCCTAATTCATATCCAAAAATGAATGCGAAAGAACTGTGCTCAAAGAAGGAAATGCTTTTCCACTTGACTGCCTACTCCAAAGTAAGTTCAGTAGTTTGTGAGTGATTGGTCTCTATTTTTTTAACCCCCCTTTGTGTGTCTCTTTTATTTAGCCATTAGCAGGCATAATTTGGTAATTTTTAAAATATATAATCTTCCCTGAGAATACATCTATGGGTCTCCCAGTATTTATTGTTAAATTGTTCACTGAAGCAAAAGGTGTATATTTATTTATATTAAAATACATTTTACAGATTAAAATGGGCAAAAATGCAAAAGCTTCACAAATGTAGTTATGGCACAGCATTTGCATGATCAAATCATTAACTTGAAGATGTTTGGACTTGAAACATGACTCCCAGCCATGTGGCTAGAGAATTCTGGAAATTGAAATCCACACATCTTCACATTGCCAAGGTTGAGAAACACTGATGTAGAAATACTGTGTGTTGGCATATACACAGACACACATGCATACATGTACCACATACACACACATACAAATTTACATAGTGTAGCAGTAACCCAGAATTGTTTTGCTTGGGGCCTCCTGATCTGGGTGGAGTGCTGCAAAGACAGGATTGCAGCTTCAATGTTCTCTTCAGGTTTCTACCCAGATCGATAGTTAAGTTCTTAAGCCACAATTTTTCCAGATCCTAAAAATCAGAGTGTATCTATGGAGCATAGAGTCTGAACCATGGGAAATAATTCTTCCCCTCTACTCTGTTCAGACTTTACTTGGAAAGCTACGTCAGTGTGGGGCACCATAGTTCAAAAAAGATAGTAACAAATCAGAGCAAGGTCAGAAGGGGCTACCAATATGGTGAGGTGTCTGAAAACTGAGCTCTATGAGGAACAGTTGAATGATATTTGGGTATGTTTACCTTACAGAAACAACTGAGGGAAATATAGTAATCTTTAAATGTCTGAAGGGTTCACTCACAGGCAGAGTGGACAAAAGGAGCTCTACAGTCCTTTGTAGTCCTATAATTTTGTGAGAACAATTCATGTGCGCTTGCTGGCACTAACTTGCTATGCTCCATCCACTTCATTAATCCATGATGATAAATTGTTGGTGGGCCCTCCTTTACTCCTCTCTTTTCTTAATCTGCCACCCAGTAGAGATATATTGTAAGTGCATTCCATATTTGCAATTTTGAAACTATAAAATAGGGCTTTTTAGTGCGCATCTGCAAGTACATTGCCAGAAAGTTTGGTATAACTCCCTGCATTCTTCTGTCCCTTCAGCTGTTCAGTGGTACACAAAGAGCTGAATGTGGGGACAGTATCTTGGGGAGACATCTCCCAACAGAAACAGCTTGACTTTCATTTCATGATGGGGTAGAACTTCATAGGGGACAAGGCTTTGTTACAAACCTTGACATTTTGATAGGGAGAGGTTATGGGATATCAGTGTGTCTCAAGTTATTTATATAATCCTGGTATAATTTTCCCCCCCTTAACTCTGCTTTCAGAGTGTAAAAACCCGTCTTGGGACTCAGATTCCCATGATCATACACACATACGTGTTCAAGGATTTTTCTGAGAAGTTACAGGACTCAATGTTGCAACTTTTGCAAGACAGAGATAAGTTGGGAATTCTCCTTCATGAGAATAAGAATACTATCAATATAAGAAATTGTTTAAAAGAAAGGATCAAGCGACTTTATGAAGCTCAAGAACAGTTGGCAAAATACTTCAATTGAACAGATGGTTAATATTTTTATATTAAAACTCTTCAACTTCAACTACTGAAGCTGTTCCTGAGAGGAGACAAAGAGAAAATGATAAGAAATCAATTTGTGGGATATTATTTGATGGAATTAAAGACCAAGTTTCTTAAAAGTAAACAAAAGGACTATAAAGTGCATTTATTTGATAAAGGTTGTTTCTGGTAGCTATTAATGGGATTTCTTTTTGACTGGGATTGAATGACAACGTTTTAAAGATTTGTTTATAAATGGGGAGAGATTGCTTTTGCTTTATTCCTCAGAGAAAGTGATAAGTTGAAATACAAAATGGATTTATTTGATTAAGGTTAATATATATGTATGTTATTATTTCTGGTAGCTCTTAATGGACTTTTGCTGCATAGGACTGAATGATGAGTTTTTACAATTTGTTTATTGATAAAAGATGAGATATAGGAAAAAGATTTTTTTTAATTATTGAAATATTAGAGAAGGTGTTAAGTTACTAAAGTTCTTTATACTGGAGGGAAGAGGAGTCTTTTTAAAAATTTCTTATTTTTTCCTTTTTCCTTTTTTTTCTCTCTCTCTCTTTGCACTTTTCTTTTTCTTTTCTTCACATTTTATATTTCTCTTAATTTGTATTAGTCTTTTATCTTTGTATTTGTAAACTTTAATAAAATTATTACCAAAAAAACCTCTTCTACTTCCAGTAGCAGTTCAGTTCTGCATCTCTTAGATAAACATATTAATGGCATTTGTAACTTATGTTTAACATTTGTAAAATTATTCAGTGATGCTGCTTGACTTAAATAACACATTCAGAACTCTGATTAGCAAAGAAAACAACACTGAAGAGAATAAGAATTTGTGTTTGCCATTTTACATGCACAATAGAAATCACTGGCCAGTTACTATGGACCTTTTCCTGCTGCTGAGTCAAAATGCTCTCTGCCCATCCACTACTACTACACTAGCATGAAGTTTGCTGTCCCCATTGCCAACCCCATTCTGTCTTCAAGTAACATTTTCCCGATTCTGCATGTGCAACAATTGGTTGTGTTCTCTGGCTTTTCTGCCCTTCTGCTTCAAAACAGCGGAAAGAACCTCTCTCCCCCATTTCCAAGGCTGTAGTAGGAAAGGAGTAGGTCTAGCTTCAGGACACTCCATCATTTTTACACTCCTTCCTGTGTGTGGCCTATACATTCTATTATAACCCAAGCTGAAGATAGTTTTTTTTTTTAAAGAAGAGAACTAAGTCATAAACTATTTAGAATTTCTCTCCCTTTTTCTTTATATAGGGAACAGATATTGACATGTTCCTTCATGTAAAAGTTTGGGAGGTGATGTGGGGGTGGGGAGGGAGGGAACTGGTTCCATCATTCAATTTTGGAACACTTTTCCACTTGAGATTCAAAGGGCCCGTACCCTTTTAGACTTCCTGAAGGCCATGAAGACCTGGCTCTTCAGCCAAGCATTGGGCTAGAAATTGTTATTGCCACAACTAATGTAACAACAATTAAACTTTGTTATTGTCTTCAGTTTGGCAATGAAAATTCACATAGGATAAAACAACATTAAGCAGAATTCAGTGTCAAAGTCCCAGATTTTTGCATGACATTACATCTGAGAGATGTGCTCAGAAACATAATAACATGAACTCTCCAGATCAATCATCCATGGAAATTTGAATTCAGTTATTCAAATGAGCATTCGAGTAAGACCTGCAATATGCTCCCACCAAAGATACCACCTGAAATTAAATAATTTATTGCATGAAATGTGCTTATTCCAGTGAAAAATGAAACCTTTGCATTCATCTCATCAGCCACACCAAGGGAAGATAAGGCACATTTAGGAGAACAAAAATAACAAAACAGTACCTTGAAATTCTTGAGTTCATATTGGAGAATTTATAATATGCTTTGTAATCGCAGACATTTTGCAAGTTAGAGTGTATTGTGTATACTCACTGCTAAAGTAAATAAATATTATGTGCTCATTTATATGCCAAGATAGGCCACATTTAGTGAAGTAGTAAATTATGCAAATGATACAAATGTGCAAACTGTCTTAAGTGGCATGATGCTATTGTGTGTGCAGATCAGAAGCAATCACTTCAGACACTACTGAGATAGATGGACTAGTAGTCTGAGTTTTGAAGAGTCAGACCTTGAACACTTAGGAGAAAAGGTGGGAAATCTATTGGATCAATTAAATAACCATTTGTTTAAAGAGGTGGGTGACCTCCTCAGCCAGCCTTCTTGAGCTGTAGTATCATTCCATTTCATTTCATTGCTTTTTATGTGTTGGTTTGTATTTTGTTGAAAGCGTTAGGACTTGAAAGCAGGTAGACAAGATCCATGCATGTAGCTGCTCCCTTTCTCCAACCTCCATATGTTCAGCTGCGAAGTCGGAGGCAGAGATGGCAGAGACGGAGGCAGATGTACTTGCTTGAATGGGAATATGGTATGGCTTTCCTTCAGACCTCTCAGCTGAATGAGTTGGAGAGCAGGGAATACACATCTTGTTTCCAACCCATCATGTGTTCGAGCAAAGGCATCAGGAGGAATAGTAATCAAAACAGATTCAGGAGTTGCAAATTCTGTGGCCAGTATGAGTCTGTGGACTTGACAGGGCTTGTAAGTTTGAGCAGAACCAGGGGCTAGAAGCCCTGCTGCCACCTCTAGTTAGCCTTAAGTAAGCATTCCACCCTGCCCAAATCTGCAACCTGGGAATAGTAACACTGACTAAGCAAGTGGCAGCCAGGGAATTTTAAGTGGCAACCAGGGAGAGGACCTTTCTTTAATAAAGCTCTAGAGTCACAGAACATCCTCCCTGGGTAGTTGAGATGTTTTTATCTTTGAGACAGATGGTCAGAGCCTTTTTACTGAATGTTTAATGAGCGAATAAAGGATGCTGTTTGTATTGTGCACTCTGCCTTGATATAATTTTTACCCTGTTTTATTACTATAATATCTATTTTTAAAACTGCTTTTGTTTATGTGAGCATCAAGTGTAAACCACACTCAAGGTTTTTTTTAACAGTAGAAAAGCAGGAGGTTTTAAACTTCTAAACAAGAAGATAAAAACTAACACAAATTAATATAAAGAGGGGAAAAGAAAGAAAAAGAAAGAAATCAAATGAAAAGCAAAAAGTGCAAGAAAAGAAAAAAAGTTGAAAAAAAACAGAAAATAAGAAGATACAAGAAGTGGCTTCTGATATTCTTCACAACAGTTATAAATATATTTTAACCTCTCTAAAGTTACATCATATTACTCTTCTTTCTATAATCTATCCTATCTAATCATCAAAACCATAAATCACATTCATTTTTTTCAGTTTTATGCAAAAAGTCCATAAGAGGTTTCCAGTCATCAATAAGTGTAGTTAATGTATTTTCTCTAATAAAAGAAGGAATTTGAAACAGAAGAAGAATAAGTAAAAGAACATATGATAAAGTGGGCTAAGAATTTTGGTTATAATATACAGATGGATCAATGGGAAAACATGTGGTTAAAAGGGTTGAAATTTACACTGTGTTATGATTTCAAAGAGAATTTTTTATAAAATGATGTATTGTTGTATATGATGTCAGAGAAATTACCTAGAATGTATAAAGCCACTTCAAATGTATGTTGGAAATGTGAACAACATGAAGGGACATTTTATTATGCTTGGTGGACA